AGAGAGAGAGAGAGAGAGAGAGAGAGAGAGAGAGAGAAAGAGTGAGAAGCAGAGCGACCAGTCACCGGTGGTTATTTAGGTGATTACGCTTTGCTTCGCGGGCGACGTGTGCGCCGTACACGTTTGATCGCATCGTCGTCGCGACAAATCGACATTGTGTCACTGCGCCTCGTTGCAGCAATAACGCATATAATATACGCGCGCGCGAGCGAGCGAGCGCAGCATTACAGACCGCTGATGTAATACTTTTATGATCGGCCGCCGCAATTTCTCGGTGACAACACTCGCTATTTCTGTCGCCGAGTTTGTGCACATGACTGCCGCGACGAGCAATATATCGCGCAAATACGCGCGACGCTCACGCCGATATTTATACAGGGTGTTCGTCGTTTCCTTCCGAACCGCGGGTAAAAACTATGGGCGACGTTGGATCTTTGCTAGCTCTCTCTCTCTCTCTCTCTCTCTCTCTCTCTCTCTCTCTCTCTCTCTCTCTCTCTCTCTCTTTCTCTCGCGCCACGCGTGTCCTCGCGGATAATAAATATATAATGAGAATTTTATCTTGGAGATAAGGGAATGATAACGGTAAACGATGACTTCGCTTGATATTTCATCCATAAAAGTGATAACATTCGTAAATTATATTTGTCTTGAAACATATAGAGCGAAATTATTCAGAAACTTGCGTAATAATGAAGGTATTCAATGAATAAATTAATTCCTAATATTCATAGAAAACTGTACAAGAATCGCTCTCTTTGTTTCTCTATTGATTTTAAGCTAATTTTATTTCGATAAAAATATAACAATGCGACAGCCAAGCTACGTTAATAATTGAAATTTATAAAAATGATTAAACAAGATTAATATTTTAACGTCTGAAAGTTAAACTGACTAGTGACTACATACTCGACAATTTGAAATGCGATCGTCTGGACAGGAAAAAGTACATATTCGGGACACCCTGTACAATATATCGAGCGTGCTCCTTTTTTTTTGCTCCCTCCGTCGGCATTGTTCGTCCATGTAACGCGAGTCGTTTCTCGCTTTCAAAACGGAGCTTCCTTAAGCGGAGGAGAAAATCGAAGCCGAGGCGATGAGGGGGTACGCCGCGGCCGCTCGTTACGTAGGTGGAATCAAGGCGAAACTTTCCGCATGAAATTGCAACGTGCGCCCGGCCGTGTAATGCCCGAGTGGTACAACTCACCTGTACGTTACATGTCTTCGTACGCTGTCGATACCGCTCGCAGTAGAAGCTGCGCTTTTTCCACGCACGGTGCATTGCTCTCGTCGAAGTCCATCCGCGCGTCGATGCTTTTCCTGTGATCCTCCGGCCTGTCACGAAACAGAAAAAAAAGGAGGTGCGATTGAGAAAAGTGAGCGGCGAGGTTTCGCGGACCGAATTAAGCCCGAGAAGAGCAAAATGAACCGGCGAGTAATCTCGAAAATTTGTATGAGATCGCACGCTTCCGAAAACTATATTAAATCAATATAATTATCTAGACGAGATAATTATGATCGCGTGACTGCGATATGTGCAGTTTACTGCACTTCTATTAATAGGTACCCGATATCTCTATTTCAACTTCTACTTGCTCCTTTGCAAAGTTCCCAGCTGGACACGTATAGGTATGTATGTATGTGGCATTTATAGCGAAAAAAGGTTAAAGATCGAAAGTGGCTTCTATTTGTGTATACAAGCCACCCTTCGCGTTTCCTCCGAGACACGTTAATCCGCAGAAATACGCGACTGGTGGTGGCGAAGATTGCACGGGCGGCAAAGTAAAAGAATGATTTATCGGTCGGCTGACTTTTCCCACTCGTGCGGAGAACCCGGGATGATCTCACTCATCGTATAGCTCGTATCTTTTACTCGCGAGAAACACAACACTATAGCGATGGTGTTAGGTATCGCGTGATCCCAAAATATCTTTTACATTTCTCTCTTTCTCTTTTCTCTTTACATGTATACATACACATATCTATTTATTTATAATTTACGCGTGAATGGGGAAGTGGAGTAAAATTTGGTGGAGAATGGAAACGCCTCGTTGACAGACTGGCTCGCGAGCGATGCGTTTGACGTACGCGGCCAAAAAAAAAACGAAGGAAGAGACGGACGGAGAAGAAGGAAGAAGGGAGACAAGCGAGTGGCGAGAGCAACGGTTACAGCAGAATAAACCCCTCAATAATGAGTTCCGCGAGTGAATTCCCTCGGTGCGGAGAGAGGCTCGAGATAATAAAACAGAGCGGGACGGCGTCGGTGGTCGAAGGGGGACGAAAGGGGGGCCCAGGAGGGTGGCGAGTGGGCGGCGGAGGGTACCGGGAGGCGAGCGGGGATCCGAGGGAGGTTTCCGCACTGGCAAGAGTAATAGTAAGAGGCAATAAAATATAATGAAATAACATCCAATCCAGGAGAGATATTGTGAAAATATTATTACTAACTTATTACTCGTTGGGCACGGCGTACCACGCTCTCGACCTTTTTCTCCATTTTTCCCTGCCTTGCCCCCCCCCCCCCTCCACCAACCCCTTCTGTTCTCCAGTCTTCGTTCCCCGCCTCCTCCCGCTCTCGACAAATATATACAGGGTGCGCCTGAAAAGGTGGAACTCGATAGTACCATTTGCGACGGATTTTTACTTAGCAAAGATTCGAATAGCTTTGTTCGATTTATAACGTTAAATATGCCGAAAATTAACGAGACATCGAATCCTTCTTTCGAACGAGAGTTTAGTAGAGATTAACTGTAAAATATGGTTTCTCTGGTATTTAAATTCTCTCGTACAAGCATAGTTCGATAAAAAATTATAAGTTCCAACGTTAAATGATTCATTGTGCAAACTGCGAAACTATACCATATGTTAACAGTGTCAATTATAGTGTAAATATATTCGGTAAAGTATATGTATAAATTTTCGAAAATTTATAGAAAGATAAGAAAAAAAGACTTGCTAACAATTAAGAAAAAAATTTCGTATAAAATGACAGCTATAATTTTCATAATTCTACGAAAGTACGACAGAAGTAATAAATATTTATCGGTGATATTTTATGTTTTGTTTCAAAACCGGCTTTTCGGTTAAAACCGAGAGAGTCACACAATTTTACATATATAATCGCTTCATTTTTAAACGAAAAATTTCTACTCCTTTTAAGCGCACCCTGTATAACCCCTTCGTTCCATCTTTCTTCTTTCTCTCCATCCGTTTCGTGGTCGCCAGAAACGCGATAAAATTTTTCTCCCTTATCGAGTCCCAATAAAAATCGGTTACCCGTGGCAGAAGACCGCTGGTGTTCTCGTCGGTCGGACGCTTCGTGAGACGCAACGAAGATCGCCCTCGCGAAAAACGGGCGAATGCCGCGTCGCGTCGCCGAGTCGCAGACAACGACGACGACGACGACGACGACGCGGCAGCGCAGATTTCCGCGGCTCGTTATTTTAAATTAACGCGAGCGCGCTCCGTATTTTAAATTATATCAGGACTGGGGATCCCAGAAGATTCTCGAGAGAGAGAGAGTCGGCCGTCGACGTTAAAAATTAAGTATCTAAGAAAAGCGAGTTTTCGTTATAATAATTTTGTTGTAATAATCATTTATATTCATGAGAGGGATACTTTCCATTTTCAGAAAGAAAAAGAGATAACCGGAACGCGTTCTTGCTCTTCTCGGAAATTAATTAACTGTAAGACCACGGACCTCACCTCGTCTTCGGATTTCGCGGCGTGCGTTGTGCGGCACAAAGTGCAATCCCCGCGTTTTGCGCCGCGCAACGTAGGCGCGCTGCGCCTACCGCCGCTAGCCTAATCGCCCGGTATCGCCGTCGAAATTATTCCCTTTTAGCGTTGTTAGCTCGGTACGCTCGCGATTCGCGATCGATCCCCGGGTTCGTCCGGCTCTCTCGCATTTGAAATGCAAAGTGCGCGGCCGAGCATTATCTTCCAGGAAAGACCGGCGGACGAATAGAGAGAGAGAGAGAAAGAGAAAGAGAGATAAAAAAAGGAAAGAAACACAGAGAGAAAAAGGCAGAAAGAAAAGATTATCGCGGAGCGAGATATCTCGGGGAGAGAGATCGCGCGCGCGGTGACGAAAGATGCAATGGTTATATAAACCGCGGTTAGAAGAAGGAGGAGAAGGAGGAGGGGAGGCGCGCGGGGTAGGTGGCGGCATGCAACAATCCTATCTGACCGTGTAAATCTCTTGGCGTCGTAACGAAGCGGCAAATCGAAACTAAACGGTAGCCCATGAATGGGAAATTAGAAAATAACGTTACGCTGGCGCGAGGTCGCGCGCGCGCGCGCGCTTCCGGCCGGGACACCCTGTGCATGTATACAGGCGTGTATGCATGCGTGCGTGGGTGGGTGCGTATGTGAGCGCGAGTCGTCTCACGCATCGGAGCTGCCGTAATGCGCATTATTATCTCGTAAGCGAAATCTGGTTACGAAGTCCTTTTATTAAAGATTTAATTGATCGACGACGCTTAAAACGCGCCCGACCGCCAGCCGTCTCCGTTCGTGCGTTTCGCGCTGCTTTCCATCCTCCCGCTTCCTACCTTTTTCCTCTCCCTCCCCCCCCCTCTCTCTCTCTCTCTCTTCCGTTAAATAAACTTTTCGCGCTGCATTTCTTCTCCCTCCCCGCTTCCCCCGTACCTGTAATAAAATTCGCCTTCTCCTCCTCCCCTCCCCCTTTTTTATGCACGGCCGTTACTTGCGTTCATTTGTTTTCCGCATCTTAATTGCATCGTCGCCAAATTGGATTCGGTGTCTTTCTATATTTGCATTTCTGTTGTTTTCGAATTTTCCGGTCCGTCATTTTACACCACTTACGTGTTATATTCCGAGTATATTGTTCTCGTGGGTTCCCATCCGGAACATAATAAACCGCCATCCGCCCTATCCGTCCATCTATCTACCTATCCGTCTCTCTTTCGCACGGCTGAGTTCTTTTCTTTTTTATTTTTATTTTTTCACTCGGTCTAAAGAGCTTAGCAATGTAATCGGAATATTTTTACGCCCTCCCTTCATTCGCCTATTATTACGCGAACGAATTTCGAATGAATTTTATTTCCGGCTCGCAAGATACTTTTCCGAAGTGGCAAATCTGGCGATCCGCGAACGATATTGGGCGGATCGGATACCGAGAAGCAGAATGACGAAAATCCTCGGAAAAATAAAATACAGTTGTACGCGCATATTTTAAGATCCCTCGCGAGGATTTTAAAATGGCAACGATTTTACTTTCCACGAATTTACGAATATAAAAAATTTGCCGTCTTGTAATCTTTCTCATTTATTTTACTCGCGCAAACATTTTTGCCGTTTGCTAGTTTCAAAGTCTCTACACAATCCAGCGGATACTAAGTTGTGTCGAAACATGAATTTACTTGAAAATACCACGGCGAAATTTTGCCGCGAGTTCCATTCCTACGCGCGCGCTGGATAGCTATTACTTGCGCCCGTCTATATGCCGGGTAATTTGCGAGAGTAGAACGATTTGTCGAGACAACGTCGCTTATATAAATAATATGTCGTTATGCGCGAAACATAGCGCGCGCGGAGGGGCTCCTCTCGTCCGTGCCGCCGTATTCACGTGTCTTTGCCACACACGTTATATAAAGGCATCTTGCACACGGCTGTATGCGTGCGTGCATACGTTCGCGCGTGTGTGCACGTACGTCCGCGTCTACGCTCGGCGCATACGCGCCAGAAATAAGCAGTCCGCGACGGCCGTAGGTAGCGCAAGTAAGAATAATGTGTTTATTCGTCAGATTAAATATCGTTCGCGCTTTCTTATTTCTTTTTTTTCTTAATTTTTTCTTCTTAATTTTCTTTCTTTTTCGTACGCGCATCTCGCTAGACTGAAATATATTTTATATGGAAGCTTCCTCGAAGAATCTAGATTCGCCACGCTCTAACGTTATTATTTTCGTTGTCTCCCAAATGTCTTAAAAAAAATCGAAATTCGCGAGTACGCCAAACGGCGCGGGTGTGTTTAATCACGCGGCAACCTCGGCGAAGTCGACGCCTTTTCTTTTACGATGACACGTGCACTCAATAAATGCATACCGGTGTAATACATACGCACACGCGTATATTACGAATATCTATAAACGTGGACCGAGAGCCAGCCGCGTTTCGCGCTCGCAGGTGCGCGCGCGGGGCGTATGAATAAAATACGGCTCCGGGCCGAAGATTTCGCCGAGTCGACTCGGTATAACTCGTCTCTGTCGCATTTGCATCCGCATTACGCGAGCGTATACCGCCGGCTTGCGTAATATTATAATCAGCCGCGGGAAAATAAATAACTATGGCGTCTACCTGGCCACCTCTC